ATTGCATGATTCCACCCCGGAACAGGTAAAGACACTAGGCCTCCGGGGTTGCATTCAGAGAGGCCAGGAAGTGGCAGAGGTGCAGCCAGAGGCTCTCTTTAATCTAGCAGACAGAGGCAGAAACAGACCCAGCAGATGGATGCTGCAGTCACAGTTCAAAGGGGAAATAAGATGCATGTTTTTAAAGGGAAAATGATTAACCCTCAGCACAACTTACATGGGGCTATGGTGGATTCTCCACCATTAGGAGATCAAGACTGGGGTATCTTTCCAAAAGTTCTATTTTAGCTCCACCAGCAGCACAGGAATCAGGGGGCAAATGCCACGTGCTAGGCAGGAGTCAAACTAAGTATCATAGGCCTTAGAATGTACGAGAGTCCAGACAACTGAGAGCTGCTGCATTTAATGCCCACAATTAGCTCGGCTCCTGTTACCGGCTGAGGCACTTGCTGTACATAGGGACGCTCTCATCCAGCTCTACCCCAAGCTGAAAACTTCCTCAGATGGGATGGCACCACTGGGTGCACAGCAGCACACAACACCATCCTGCCTGCCACAATTGGCAGGCGTCTCAAACAGGCATTCCCACTGCAGCTCAGTCTCCGGCCCTCCTGCTATGCCACATTCACAGGAGCAGGGATCAACAACTGCTGACCAGAGGGAGGGGAGAAGGCAGGGGAGACCCCCCCCACCAATAGCCCTTCCCCTGGAGCCAAGAGGGGATCAAAGGGAGGGACCTGCAGGTGCCCCCAGGTTCTTCTGGGGGGGAGGTGGTTGGGCTGCTACATTATCCACAGAAAAAGAGGGGCGGTGCAGGAAATGAACTGACCCTGAGCTGCTGGCTCCCCCTCCCCGGTGACACAGCCCAGCCTTCTCTCTCCACCCTCCCCATGTGGGAGCCACCAGCAGGCTCCCTGTTTCTGATCTCTGGGGGAGTGGGGAGCAGGGGCCCAACACCCCTGCGGGCAGCAGCTATGGAGCCCAACAGAGAGGTCAGGCCAGGGCTAAATTAATTGCATTGACCAGAGTGGGAGTTGGCTTGGTTGCATGGAGGAGGTCGGGGGTAAATATTGTAGTGGTGCCAGCATGAGGCTGCTGACTTCCCTGTTTGGGGAAGGGGATGGAGTGGGAATGGGGGGCTGAATTAATTGCAGTGGGGCTGGGGGTTTGGAGATGGGAACAGTTGAACTAATGGCATTGGGGCAGGGACCTCCCTCCCTCTCTCCCCAGATCTCTCTGCTGATCATGCCCCATGAGCTGGTCAAGTGAGGACTCCTTGCACAGCCCCCCAGCCACCTGAGCAGTGACTTCCCACCCCAGCCTATAACAGATCCCAGCACTGTTTTATATTATTCCCTTGTTGGGGGAACACCACGAACAAGGTTTTGCCACTCACGGCCATTGCAGGCTGCGGTCTGCTTCACAGACTGAGAAGCACTGCACATCTCAGCCACTGCCGCTGGCTTGTGGCACACATGGGGGGGCTATGGTGGCTGGATCTCCCCCCCCAGCACACACACCCCTTGTCCCTCTGGGGCCATGTGCAGAGGCTCTAGCACAGGCACTGGTTAGCACACACTGAAAGGAAAGGCCCTGAACAGGAGAGGTCTGCAGACCTGACAGGGTCCAATTCTCACCCATCTACATGCACAGCTCCAATGAAACACCCCCATCCTGCAGGCCAAGGGCAGGCCTCCCAGCCATAGGCGCTAACTTCCACTGTTCCCAGTGGGTGCTCGACCTCACCCCCGCCCCTGGCCCTGCCTTCGCCCCGCCCCAATTCCACCCCCTCCCCAAAGTCCCTTCCCCCATTCCACCCTCTTCCCCCAAGTCCCTGCCTCTTCTCCACCTCCTCCCCTGAGCGCGCCACGTCCCCACTCCTCCCCACTCCCTCCTGGAAAGTCCTAAGCGCCTCCAAACTGCTGTTTGGCGGCAGGAAGCACTGGGAGGTAGGCAGAGGAGCAGGGACATGGCGTACGGGGGGGGAGGGGGGGGGAGAGAAGGAGGTGGGTCGGGGAGCTTGGCTGCCAGTGGGTGCAGAGCACCCACTAATTTTTCCCCCATGGGTGCTCCAGCCCCGGAGCACTCACGGAGTCGGTGCCTATGCTCCCAGCCTCCCTGGGAATGCAGAGCAGGGCTTGTTGGCATTAGAGAGAGCACACGCATCCAGTCCAGGAGCACGCCCGACCCTTCCTTTCCCCATGCGTCATCCCGTCCAACTCTCAGGTTAGTAAATGAGCAGGAAGTGGTTGTGCAGCACCCCCAGCACTCACAAGTATTTCGATGACTACTGAAATGGATGAGAGCTAGGCACCTAGATACCTTTGAGGCTCTGGGCCCAGCTGCCTGAGGCTCAGCTCCTCAGACCCATGTGAACCCTGGCAAGATAGTGAGGCTGGCAGAGGAGGGGCTGGTTGGAAGCAGGTTTGTTATCTCAGGTCCATCTTCTCCTTACAACCCACCCGCCCTGAGCAGAGCGCATAGCTCCCCTGCACTAGCGCCTAGGACAGGGCTGTGATGAGTGGGGATTTTCCCTTGTTATGCTGTATGTGAGCCTATGTGAGTCTTGCTGTTTTGCCAGCTGGCTGAGAGTCACGTCTGGCTGTGGAGTTGGGGTGCAGGGCCCTCTGGCTTCCCCAGGAGCTTCGCCTGGGCAGACTCATTGCGGGAAGCACACGGTGTGAGAAGGGGATGCTGAATGCTCCGAGGTCAGACCCAGGAAGGTCGAAGCTGTGTAAGCTTCTTGCCCTGCAGACAGTATGCTCAGAGAGAGGAGGCATGCTCCCCCAGAGTCCTGACTGGCTTTGTATGGAGTACTTCCAGAGCATCGCCCCGGTGACTCCATGATAACTGGTGGCAAAGGCGGGATAAACTGCACCTCATGGACAGAGCATCCTACAGTAAGTGACTGGGGAGCTGTAAAACGAAGGAGGATTAGTAAGAGACGGGCGTGCTGGAGGCTCCGAGAGGTGTGGTTCCAGGAGGAGCCTATGGCTTAACCCCGAGAGAGGTGGACCCCCGAAAAGGGCTGTCGCACTGAAGGGGTTCCTCCCAGGGATCATGGGGAGCTGAGAGAGCATAGGCCTGGGAGTCTGTGACCACTTCGGAACAGCGTGGAGATGGCCTATAACAATCTCCTTAAGAAGGTCATTGTGGACCTGTGCAGAGAAAGACAGCTGCGCATTGGAAAGCTCACTAAGGCACAGCTGATTGCTCAGTTGGAAAGAGGGGCATTAACACTTTCTTCCTTCCTTTGAGTGACGTAAAAGCATTTCCAGCACCCTCCGCTATTTTATTATTTTAATCAATAAAGCTTTAAAAATCTAGACACTTGATACGTTTAGTCATCTTCTCCCCAAACAATCCTGTGGCGTCAGCCTAATCAACTGACATTCCAAGCAGATTGGTAACAAAAATCTGTCACAACGTCTGATTACGGAGTCGGGGTGCAGGGCCCTCTGGCTTCCCTAGTAGCCCCGCCCGGGCGGACTCGCTGCAGGAAGCACACAGTGAGGAAGGGGATGCAGAATGCTCCAAGGTCAGACCCAGGAAAGTCGAAGCTGTGTAAGCTCAGAGAGAGGAGGCATGCTCCCCCAGAGTCCTGACTGGCTTTGTATGGCGTGACAAGGGCTGACTCCGTGACAAGGGCTCACAGTAATAGGCTAACTAATGTTCCACAGGCCATGTTGAGGGCTGACACAGCTCCTCCATAGACCAGGAGTTTGCCCCGTTAGACACTATGGAGGCCTCAGACACGGCAGAGCTGGGGGCTGTAGAGCCCCAAAGATATTCATCATAGAAGTATAGGACTGGAAGGGACCTCGAGAGGTCATCAAATCCAGTCCCTTGCACTCAGGGCAAGGGTAAGTATTATTTAGACCATCCCTGACAGGTGTTTGTCTAACATGCTCTTAAAAATCTCCCATGACCGTGATTCCACAACCTCCCTAGGCAATTTATTCCAGGGCTTAACCACTCTGACAGTTAGGAAGTTTTTCCTAATGTCCAACCTCAACCACCCTTGCTACAATTAAAGCCCATTGCTTCTTGTCCTATCCTCAGAGGTTAATGAAAACAATTTTTCTCCCTCTGCCTTGTAACAAACTTTTATGTACTTGAAGATTGTTATGTCCCCTCTCAGTCTTCTCTACTCCAGACTAAACACACCCAATTTTTTCAGTCATCCCTCATAGGTCGTGTTTTCTAGACCTTTAATCATTTTTGTTGCTCTTCTCTGGACTCTCTCCAGTTTGTCCACATCTTTCCTGCAATGTGGCACCCAGAACTGCAGTTGAGGCTATATCAGTGTAGAGTAGAGCCACCAAATTACTGCCCATGTCTCGCTTAGAACACTCCTGCTACTATAACCCAGAATGAAGTCTAGTTTTTCTGCAGCAGTGTTACACTTCCACAGGTCAGAGAGGGCCGAGGACCACAAGTCGCCGGAAAGCAATGCCACAGGCGCCGTGGGCCGCACTGGCGGGTTGGCCCGGTGCTTGCTGGGAGCTGTAGTCTGCTCTGGCTACAATTCGCCGTCTGGGGGAGCGGGGCTGCCGCGGCCCCGTTACCCGGCGCTGCGCGGAGCGTCTGGGGCCGCGCAGCCCGCTTACCTCGGCCACCCCGCTGCACCCCTGGAGGGGCTCAGCGGTGCCCCGCCGGGCTCCCCTCCACCAGGCCCGGGGGACACAGCCCGGCTCGCGGGCGGCCCTGCCCTGTCCGCGCTCTAGTCCGGGGTGGAGGCAAGGCGGGACCCTGGGGAGTTTTACCACGCGGCAGGCAGGAGACGCGCTGGAGCCGGGGCGGGGATCCCTCCCCCAGCCGGGCCGGCCCGCAGCGCCCCGTTCCCCGCAGAACGTTCCCCCGGAGCGAGCTCGTCCCGACCTCCCGCAACTTGTCCCAAAACTTCGGGGTCCGGCCGCTCCCGGGCTCTGCTCTCGCCCCGCCGCGCTGGTGCAGCCCGGAATCTTGGGCGACTGGGCTCCCGACCCCGCAGCACTTACCCCAAGACGCGCCGGAGTGGGGCCGCAGATTTCTCTTCCCGGTCGAGCTCGAACTTCTGCCGGCTGATGCAAGACGCCGCCGAACGCCGGGGCATTCTGCGGATTCCTGGGCCCCGGCCAACGTCCCACAATCCCACATCTTGCACATTTGGCTTCAATTAGGGGCTGGGGGAGCCAGACACCAATCAGAGCTGGCTTCTCTGCCGAGGCTCGCTCGGCCCAAGGGAATGCGCGCAGAGCTGTAATTTACAGCAAAACCCATTCATAGGAAGGAAACAATCCCAAAGCAGTGAGTGGCCTTACAGACCCAGGCAGATTGTTTCAGGAGGTGTTTTATGGCTTGTTGATTTAGGTAGCAGAGTAGAGTTGTATATGAACGAGAGAAAGGATTAAAGGCAGCTCCTCGCTAATATTCCCCCAGGTGCTGGTGCTGCATCTGGCTGCACCAACCTCCCCCCTTAACACAAAGGCCAGAAGAAGCAATTGGGATAATCTGGTCTGCAGGGATCCTGCCTCCAGCCCAAGGGAGTCACTCAGCGAGGCTCTGTGTCGCTCGTGCAGTGTTTGAGGGCCACTACACAGAGGCAGGGCCAGAGGGGCTGCAGGATGGCCTCACAGCTCCTAGGGGATGAAATAATGAACCAGAACCCCCTATGGGGCTTAACTTCCCATGCTGCCTGGAGCCATTCCCTATGCACCCCTGGGGGCTGGGGGGAACAGGACACTCCACATCTCCAGGAGACAGCCTGAGCAAAGGGGGGCAGCCTGTAAATCTCCCTAGCCCAGAGAGCTGGGCCTTGGCAGGGGTGTGGGACCGTGTTTCCCTGGAGGAGGGGAGCTCCCCTGTTTTATAATCCCTTCCTTCAGAGGGTGATGCTTGAGGACTGGATGGGCTCTTCTTCTAACTCCGTGCTCAGTGTTTGGGAGGCTTCTTGGGATACCCAGGCCTGGGAGGCACCTTGCTACTGCCTGCCCTTCACATGTGGAAGCCCTGTCTGCCTCTGCCAGGGGTCAGCTCTCTGGCACCACCAGCCACAGGCAGCACCAGTGCTCCCCTCTCAGCCCATGTGAGCTCCACTGCTCCCTGCAGGCTAACAACAGGCACACCCCATCCCCGAGCATCCCCCAGGAATGCCCAGGCCCTGCTCCACTGGACGTTCACAGACTGGCTGCCGCTGCTCCCAAAAGAAAAGTGCACCCCAGCTTACCTGTTCTACCTCGGATCACCGTTGTGCTCAACCCACAGCACTTAGGCTGGGTTCCAGAGAAAGCAAGCATACATCTAGCAAAGACCAGAGATTCAAATGACAACTGGCAGAGCTATTGGAAACAAAGGTTTACATACCAAAGCATAACACACATTCTAGAGCATAGACTCAAGTAACGAGATGCCCTCCTGTCTAACAAGGTGCTGCTCCGCCAAAGTCCTTCTCCCAGCGATTTGTACCCAGGCTGGCTGAGAGTCAGAACCTCCTTTCAGAAGACCAAACCAGCTGGCAGTGTCTCCCCAGATGAAGGATGTGCAGGTATCTCTCTGCACCAGGGCCAGTGCTACCATTTAGATGGACTAGGCGGTTGCCTAGGGCGCCAAGATTTGGGGGCGCCAAAAAGCGGTGCCCCCAATTTTTTTTAAAGTGTTCCAGTGGCCGCTGCGCTGGGAGGGAGAGGGAGTCTGAGCCACCGGCAGGCAGCCCAGGGGTTTCCCTGGGTCAGCGCGCCACCTGCAGCCCAGAGGTTGCCCCGGGTCAGTGCGCCGCCGGCAGCCCAGGGGAACCCCCGGGTCAGTGCGCCGCCGGCAGCCCAGGGGTTTCCCTGGGTCAGAGCTGCCGCACGGATCCCCGGGCCGGGGGGTGGGGAGCTGCCGCGGGGGGGTGCCTCAGGCCGGGCGGGGAGCTGCCAGGGGGGGACGCCTCAGGGCAGGGGGGGAGATGCTCCGGGGGGGGGCGCCTCAGGGTGGGGGGGGGGGGGGGGGCGGCCGCGGGGCGGTGGGGGGGGCGCAAGGTGGAAGTTCCGCCTACAGTGCGAAACTTCCTTGCACCGGCCCTGCTCTGCACCCCTAGATATATTAGACCAGTCCTTTGTTGTTCACCTGTAATGAGGGTCTCCCACTCCCCCCACCCCACAGGTCACCTCTTTCTGTACATTTCTTCTCCTGACATCCCCACAATCCCCTCATTAGCATTTGACTCAGGATGCAAATCGATTCCTATGGTAAGACTCACAATACACAATGGTCAGCAGGGACAGGGAGATACCTGCCTCCCACCTGGTGTCTGGTGGAACTTGTCTCAAGGCATGTACCTCTCGGTGGCCTGCCTTTAACTACCAGGCTTTAAGACCATAATGTTCTATATATATACACACATCTCTGTACGTATTATCTGCACATACACTTTGCAATGATGAGGGTAACCAGTGCGACACAGACTTTCAGCAGAAACCTCCTTACCTGACACTCTTCTGTAAATTAATATGTAAATACCAGACCCACGGAATCCCTGTGACCCTGATGCATCCCTGTCTCCTCTGCCAATTGACATCAAGAGGTCCCTGGGTCACAGTAGTGGAAGTGGCCTGGTGGTGCTGGTGGAGCAGGACCAGCAGGAGACCTCCTCCGGATTACAATGCTAAAGCAGATTTCAAAGCAGAAAGGCACTGCATGGAGATGCTGTTCATTCGCCATGTGCAATCCCAGTGTGGAGTGTCAGTGCATGAGATTCCAGCTGCAGGCACAGGACGAAGGAGCTTCCTACCTGGGGTGCAGAGAGCGTCACATATGTTAGGGCCAGCAGGGACCAGTAGTCTCACCTCCTATACAACACAGACCAGCAACTTACACACAGTGATTCCTGCACTCAGCCCAGAACTTTAGGCTGTGCTAGACAGTGAACACCCAGGCTTGATGCACAGACTCCAAGTGATGGGGAATCCATCCCATCCCTAGGTGACTTGTTCCAGTGGTTACTTACTCAGACTGTTAAAGATATGCTCCTTAGTTACAATCTAAATTTCTTCAGCTTCCAGCCATTGGCTCCTTTTCTGCTTTTGCCTGCTAGATTGAAGAGCTCTCTGCTCTCAGCAACCTCCTTCCCATGTAAATACTTCTACACTGTGGTCGAGTCACCTCTTCTTGTTAAGAGTCAGTGAATGAGCAACTGAAAAGCAATAGAGACTGGGAGTGGCTGGGTATTGAATCTATTTCGCCATGTTAAGTATCCTCACACCTTCTTGTCAACTGTCTAAAATGGGCCATCTTGATTATCACTACAAAAGTTTTTTTTCTCCTGCTGATAATACCTCATCTTAATTAATTAGCCTCTTACAGTTGTTTTGGCTACTTCCACCTTTTCATGTTCTCTGTATGTATATATATTTCTTACTGTATGTTCCATTCTATGCATCTGATGAAGTGGGCTGTAGCCCACGAAAGCTTATGCTCAAATAAATTTGTTGGTCTCTAAGGTGCCACAACTACTCCTGTTCTTTTTTTGGAAAAGCAATGCTAAACCATCCCAGTGTGAATCCTGCTTTGCCATGCACTGCCAGGAGTGCCTGAAAGAGCCACTCTCCTGCCCCTTGAGGCCTGGTCTCCTCCCCCCCGCACACAGACAGTTGGTCCTGGCTGGGTCATCTGCTGGATTGAGCCCAGGAACCTCTGGATCTGAAAGCATGAGCCTCTACTAGTTGCGCTTAAAAAACAAAACAAACAAACAAACAAACAATAGGTCTATTAGCTCAGAGACAATAGCAAACTCAGAAACATCTATGCCTGGCTTGCCAATAGAGGGCAACAACGAGCCAGGCTGCCTTAGCATAGGGTAAAGCAGAGGTGGGCAAACTACGGCCCGCGGGCCACATCCGGCCCGCAGGACCGTCATGCCCAGCCCCTCCCATGCTGTTCCCTCTTCCCTGCAGTGACGCCGCCGCACGGACAGTGCTCTGGGCGGTGGGGTTGCGTGCTCCTGCCGAGCAGTGCGGCAGCGTGTCTGGCTCCGGCCGAGCGGCGCGGCTGCCAGACATGCTGCTCTGACCGGCATGGTAAGGGGGCCGGGGGGTTGGATAAGGGGCGGGGAGTCCTGGGGGGCAGTCAGGGAGCAGGGGGCGGTTGGATGGGGCAGAGGTTCTGGGGGGCGGTCAGGGGACGGGAACAGGGGGGGTTGGATAGGCATGGGATCCCAGGGGCCTGTCAAGGGGCAGGGGTGTGGATAGGGGTCAGAGCAGTCAGGGGACTGGGAGCAGGGGGGTTGGATAGGGGCTGGGGTCCTGGGGGCGGTTAGGGGCGGGGAGTCCCGGGAAGGGGCGGTTAGGGGACAAGGAGCAGGGGGGTTTGGATGGGTCGGGGGTTCTGAAGGGGGAAGTCAGGGGGCAGGAAGTGGGAGGGGTCGAATAGGGGGTGGGGGCCAGACTGTTTGGGGAGGCACAGCCTTCCCTACCCGGCCCTCCATACAGTTTTGCAACCCCAATGTGGCCCTGGGCCAAAAAGTTTGCCCACCCCTGGGGTAAAGCTTACTTAAAGCAATCTCATGTATAGACAAGGTGTTACCCATAAGAAGAACTAGCTCATATGCAGCCATAATTTCAAGGAATTAAATGAATCTGTCTCCAGTAAAACCCCCGAGAGAATTGAAAAAACGATACTATAACCTCAAAATGCCACGTAATGATAAGTGTTGTAGTAACAAGGAATAAATAGAGTGCTAATTAATTTTTAAGATAATAGAAATGCCTATGTTTACAGTGTGTCAGTAATCAAATAAAATATTCAAGATCCATGCTTGCGCATGAAACTTGCACCTGTATTGTGCAATTTATTATTTCTTAAAAGTTTCTTTGTACCCCCAAACCACCCCTCAGGACCAATTTCAATGGCATATTATAAAAGAACAACCCCTCAGACAGAGACCAACACCTACAAGATCTACAACCGATTTGCTCCAACCCCTCAGACAGGGACCAACACCTACAAGATCTACAACAGCATTTGCTCCAACCCCTCAGACAGAGACCAACACCTACAAGATCTTCACCAAGCATTCTCAAAACTACGATACCCACACGAGA